ATGTTACAGAGATGTTTAGTATCTAAGCTTAAGGTGTTGATTTATCTTATTTCATTATATAGTCTGAATCCTGCATCGCTATTCTTAACTAAAGTGCTAGAAATAATAAGGTATGGAGAGGGAAATTGAACACATGAAAGTATAATAAATGTCTCTATTAGTATGAAACACCTTTTATTGTATTGTTTTACAGGGATATTGCTAATGAAGATGAGGTAAGGAAAAAGCTTGAAATAAAAATCAAATCTATAATCTCACCTATTTAAGATATATTGCAGTTTCAACCTATCCCAAGTCTCAATCGCACCCCGAACTCAAGCGATAAAAATGCATTACCATAGACTACAAGAGTCCAACATTATTGGGTTACACGGCAGCCAAACCTTCAGCGAAGTCCAGTATAGATGAAAATCGCAGTGGTGTAGCAAATTCAAATGCCTTCTTTTTCATTAATCGTTGATTAAATCGCTAACAATCCCTAGTCATCAGATGTAAATTTGCTTATCATAGCCTCAATCTCATTCCTGATAGTGGCGAAGACCTCATTCATATGTACGTCCACCCTACGTTTAGGCATGAATGCATCGGAAATTAAATACAAATATCATGCTCATAGATAAATCAAGAATATCGAAATGATGGAAGAGGAAATAGCATGGTCCTTGACTTATTGAAGCATACAAAGCCAAAATAAATGCTTCCAAACACATAAAACTTATTTATAAAAATTAATTAGATTAGAATTGATTTCAAATAATGTAGACTACTGAACTAAGATGACGCTGGGTAATAACAATTGTAAAGCAGAACCTTAATTTATATCTTGCTTGAAGGCATGCTAACTGATGAAAATAGGTAGTTTATTACTTCAATAAGCTAAAATCAGACTGTAAATAAACACATGTAAAATAAAATGTGATTACCTAGTCATATGCGAGCTAGCCTTGAAATGGAATGACAAAAATTTGGCCATATAATATAAAATGTAGCAGTACTCGTACATTTACAGATAAATTAAATGGAGTAATACTCACCCGCCACCATTTAACGCAAGTCAATGGACTAGGCCGAAATAAGTAGCGCTGCGCAACACGCAACTGAGGGCGCCTTGAGATGCCTGCCCGCTGCTCCGAAGTCACCTCCGCCCAATCAAGTTCGCGCTGCACCACTGAATAAGCCGTAAGCACAATGTCGGCAGAGGCCAGTTGGGCTGGCTGAACAAAGCCAGGGAGGAGTTCCTGGTCATCCGGGTTATCTGACTGGCCGACTGAAGTACGCCGTGAAAAACATGAACCAGCAGAGGAACTGTAGACATTAATAAATAGGAAAAAGGTATTGTTTAAGCCAGTACGTTTATGAATATAGAATATGTAGAACCATTCTAGTCTAATAAATACTTTTTTGTAAAAAATTTTAATTCGGCGTTGTATACAAGTAAACGAGAGGCTGCATTGAGTTAGAAACTTTATAATAAAGGGTGTTGAATAAATTTAAATTATCTAAAAATGCCAAGAAAGCATATAAAGGAAGTTTTTCAGTGTTAGCAACCAAAATTATTAGAATCGCTACCTTAAATACAAATAAAAAGTGGATTTCGATTAATATCTTGAAGTAAAATTGTTGTAAAAACTTTTAGTTCTTATGACAATACAAGATGAAGAGATTCGTAGGTCGATCTCAGTAGCAGTTTGGCTTTTATACGACGTTCAGTTTGATGCGGCCTAAAGACATACTACCTTCTTTCAGGTGAAAAAGGGCTGAGCTTTCCTTGGTCACATGACGAAAATCATCAGATCT